TTTCTCCACATTAAAATTCACATTTAAACATCACATTTAAACTTCTTAAAGGCCAATTACAATGACAGTTTCTAGCTATTTTTTAATCTATCCATCTACATTTTGGATGAATCTTAAAATTCTTCTTTTGTTTATTTCTGTACCATAGTTTTGATAATACTGAACAGAATTCTGAGTAATCATGCATAGACCTCTTCTGTTTTCTGTGTTTCTATTAGTTTACTCATTCGTTATATTTAGTTTTTGCCTTTCCTCCAAAAGAAATCCAAGATTGTTTACATAAAAATCTTCACTTTGTCCACACAGTAGCAGCCCTGTGGGGTAGTTGGGGTGACTGACCCAAAGCTACCCTGTGACTTCCATGGTTAAGGGGAGATTTGACCTTAGATCATACCTTAGTGACTGCACCACACTGGTTTTCAGACCTCCTATCCTATCTTCCCCCTCCCTGTCCATCCTGTGAGTCAGAGTGAAAGCAGAAGCTGGTGAATATTACATAGGGTGAAGCCAAGCAGAGCCAGAAGAGCTATTTAAAACTTATCTTGGTTTTGCAGTTCTCCTTATCTTTTAAGCAGCCCCCTTTGCTGTGATCAAGATCTTGTGATATAAAGGAACTTCCTAAAGGGGAAAAGCTGGTAAATTGTTGACCTGTAACATTGGTGATTGTACTGTTTATAATAAATAACATGAGGAGAGTCATTTAGCTCAATCAGAATAGAGCTGGAAGGGACCTTGGAGGTCTTCTAGTCCAACTCCCTGCTCAAGCAGGAGACCCTATACAATTTGAGACAAGTGGCTGCCCAGTCTCTTCTTAAAAACCTCCAGTGATGAAGCACACACAACTTCTGAAGGCAAGCTGTTCCACTTGCTAATTGTTCTCAGTGATAGGAGGTTTTTCCTTAATTCCAGGTTGATTCTCTCCTTGATTAGTTTCCATCCATTTTTTCTTGTCTTGCCTTCTGGTGCTTTGGAAAATAAGTTGACCCCCCACTTCTTTGTGGCAGCCCCTCAAATACTGGAACACTGCTATCATGACACCCCTGGTCCTTTTCTCTAGAGTAGTCATACCCAGTTCCTGCAACCATTCTTCATACATACAAAGGTCTCCTGGCCTTTGATCATTTTAGTTGCTCTTCTCTGCACTTTTTCCAAAGTCTCAACATCTTTTTTGTAATGTGGTGACCAAAACTGGATGCAGTATTCCAGGTGGTGGCCTTACAAAGGCTTTATAAAGCAATACTAATACTTTGCGTGATTTTGATTCTATGCCTCTGTTTATATAACCAAGGATTGTATTAGCTTTTTGGGCTGCTGCTGTCCATTCCTTTTCACTACACACCATGCAACCATAAAAGAGCAATTGTGATTGTAGCAGTGAAAGGAAAATATATTTTTTCTGAAAATTTACTGGATTGTTAATTTTGATAATTTTAAAGATAATTTAAAGCACTGTTTATTCTGTTAGCAATTAAAGCATTATCCTTTTATGGTTGATAGCTACTTTTGATTCACAATATAGTTTTATAGATTGAAACAAAAATGAATAACAAATTACGAGAATAGTCGTGTGAGCAACAAGCAGAATTCTTACAAGAATGACATTTCCAGTCTGTATATCTCCTACAGAGATTTTATTTTATATATAAAAATGAAGGGAAACAGTTTTTATGTAAATATCTAATGAATACTACAGTAATCCAGGAAAGTTTAAGTTGCATCAAAAATGAAGGCAAATGTTTTTTTCCCTTTCTTTCAGTGCAATGAAGTGCACCTCCCTATGGCAATGCTTCATAAGCTGAACTGGTTTACCAGTTGATTTCTGGGTGTAATTCAAGATGGTGGTTATTAAGCCCTTCATGGCATAGGGCTGTTTTAGGGACAGCTTGTTTCCGAATGTTTCTACTTGTCAGATAAGGTTAGGTTGAGCTGGGATGCTTTGGGTCCCAGTGATTAAACAATGTCATTTATTGGGACCCAGAAAGCGTGCCTTTTTTTGATGTGGTGCCCTCTAGAATGACATTGCCCCAGGAGAGCCATATAATTCCCACCCCAATGACATTCAAAAAACTATTAAAAGTTTAGTTGTTCTCCCGATCTTGGGATAGGATGGTTGTGGAATCCCTATGGTTTTAATTATTTTGGTTATTGAACTATCTTTCTGGTTGGTTATGCTTTCTTCTAATTTTTTGTTTTTTTCTCTTTTAATTGTAAGCTACCCAGAGTTGTTAAGGTGTTGGGTGGACTCCAAATCAAATGAAATAAAAAATAAATACGTAATTATAAAATATTCTGCATCTACTACCAGTTAGAGCCATTCCTGGATTAAGTTATCATAAGAGAGGAGAAAAAAGCTTTTCTTCCATGTCACATAAAATATTATGCATTCTATCCTGTCTCTCGTCTTAATTGTTTTTTAAGCTGAAAAATCCCCCTCGTAAGCCTTTCCTTATGAGGAGCTACTCTTGCCTTTGATTATTTGTGCAGTCCCTTTTTTCCAATTATGTAAGTTATATATAGCACCATTTTTAAGGACAATGATTAATACTGTATACAGTGTAGAATTCAAAGATTGGTTATACTATACGAGATTATAGCATTGGCCATTTTATACCCCTTGAAATTTGTCAACACAAAAGATTGGGCATCCATGTAGAATCTTTAGATGATCTTGTTCAGGTAGGGTTTAGTTTTTTACATGCCTTAATTATTTTGAGAGACATTGGGTTGTAGAAAGAAGTTAATGGAAAAGATCAAAAGGGATTATATAAATGATGTGGGATAGTTTTCTGAAGTAAAGCACATTTTCTTTTTCTTGCAATATCTGAACAAGGTTGTTCAGCCTGTGAATAAACCCTTTATCCTTTTACATGGTAGTTGCTATGTATTGCCTGTGTTATGACAGCAAGAGGTATGACAGCTTAATCAGCCCTGATAGGGTTTGTAAACTCTTCACACTCTATGACTGAAGAAGGCAGCTTGTGAAAGAGCTGAAGCACTTTAAGGACATCGGCTTCACCAGCGGGGTGTAAACTCTTGGATGCATATTTGGGAATCCAAATAAGCAGCTGCATTCATTCTTAGAAGTGCTGAACAGGTCTGAAAAATCCATGAGGAAGCTTATCCATTGTAGGAATTTTCTTACTACAAATTATGATTGCCACCCCTAAATCTTAAATCAGATTTCCCTGAGCTGACATTCTCCAAACACTTTCTCAGGCCAGCAGAAGTAATGACTGTGGAGTCTGAGAGTAAGGAGGGCTTATAAACTGTTACATTAGAAAGCATTAGTAAGGGAAAGGTTGGTGCAAGGCATATGATGATTTAGCATAATTAGAAAACTCATGAGACATATCCTGAATGACAAATCCAATTGCTTACCCAGAATGCTAGAAATTGTCTGAATGCTACATATAGACGTTATACGTATAGAAAAAGCATGAGAAAGAGCAGTTTCTATCTCAAACACCATCTCTCCTGTGAACTTGCTAAACCATTGAGTCTCATCCTCTATCACTCATCTATCACATGAGCATAATAATCTAAACTTTTTAAGTGTTAAATTTAACTCTGAAATATCCTACTTTGATAGGCAAACACTGACTGCAATATGAAGCAAATTATTAGGGAGAAGATAATTAGCAACTTGTTCTGTGTCATCTCCCTTTCTGGATTTTTTAAAAAAGAATTTCCTTATTCTTTTTTCATGGGCCTCTTGAGTTTTATTTATATCACATGCTAGAGTTTTTGGTCACCTGCCCAAAGATGAAACAGAAAAAAAAATAGTTGGAAATTTTTATTCCCTTCATGACATATATTACATAGAGGGAAGTAAGATCGTTACTTAACTTTGATCTGAAATTCTTTTTTTCCCTTCCTCTTAAAGTAATTAAGGAGGGTTATAGTTTTTTTGGGGGGTTGGATTAGCCCTAGAGAATCAAGTTCACTCTCAGTCACAGAAATTCCTTGGGTGGCTGGGCCACTCACTCTCTTCAAGCCCAGCCTACCTCGCAAGATTATTATTTTGGGGGGAAAAATTGAAGGAAGTGCTATGTATACTGTCCTGAACTCCTTGACAAAAAACAAATATAAATGTAACAAGTACAATTTCTTACAAGAGGAACAAAGACAGTGGTGGGATTCAGATATCTGAACAACCGGTTTTCTGTGTGGATGCCGCTTCCGGAAGTCCATTCTAGGTCTGGGCAACAAAAAAATTAGCTACCAGTGCGAACCGGTTACTATTAACCCCACAAAGATAATAGTAAATGAAAAGTATGTATAATTTAAAAAGCAATTTTTTTTAGCAAGTTATGCTGTCATAAAATGGGACCACTTTTTGGAAGAGAAATTTATTCAAAGCTGTTTTTGCACCAGCATTTGCACATTTTAGATTTTTATGAAGCTGCTTGAAAAGTACACACAGAAATACATGCTGCTTATGCACAAAACCTCCCATTAATATTAATGAACAGTCACTTGCTTAAAGACTACAAGCTTGAAAATGAAAAACATATGATCAAGCATATGTACATATTTTTGTATTTATTACTGTTTTGCCTTTTTCTCCTTAATATTGCAAACTGATGCAACAAAGGCTCAGGAAAGTGAGAAGAGGAACAAAAGTGTTGTTATATTTTAACATTTGGGAAATATTAGTGAAAACAAATTGTAATTTGTTGTGGGTAGTTGATATCAATTTCAAAAGCAATAGCTTCCTTCAGCTTGCTAATTGAGAGTTCTGGGAATTGGAGATCTAACACATCCAGAGCTGGGAAGGCTGAATTAGATGTAAAAAAAAAAAGATAGGCAAAATAACAGGTTGTAAGTCCCCTATTCTACTAGATTGATTATAGAAGGTTCTTAATGTTGAGAGATTTGCTGCTCTTAAATCAGTTTTAATGACTTGTGCAAATGATCGAAAGCTAGCATTTAATGCTGAATCCCTGAGTCTCAACCCTTCTATTTTCTTCTTAGGACTTTAGGTATTTTTAACAAACTTTGACATCCCAAATATCAGCCATGGCATCTCGCATTGGTTTACGGATGCAGCTTATGCGAGAGCAAGTACAACAAGAGGAACAACGGGAGCGCATTCAGCAGCAGTCAGTGATGCATTACATGCAGCAACAGCAACAAATGCCAATGGCTCCAACCCCAGCCATCAACACGCCAGTTCATTTCCAATCACCACCACCTGTGCCAGGAGAAGTTTTAAAGGTACAGTCGCATGAATAAAACTTTGGTCATGGAGAACGATAGAGGCAAATAGAATATCTGTTAAAACTGTTATGTTGCAAGAAATGAATGGCTTGCTGGCTTGCTTGTTTATTATCTATTTATTTATTAAATTTATATGCCTCCCCTCTCACTATCAAGCGAGTCTTGGCAGCTTACCAATATATCTGATATATCAGTTGGAAAAATACATTGAAAACCAGCAAGTCCTTTCATTTGAATTAAGCATTTGTGTATGTTTAAATGGGGAAAGGGGGAGAGAATCTATGCAGAATTTTTCTTTCAAATGGTTTTACTTTAGTATTCGAAACCGCTCAGAAAAACACAAGTGATTAGCTGCTAATCAGCTATATTTTTCCAATTGAGTTATTGGATTCCTATAGTTTTTCTTTAATCATCCTACAAATTTTATCCTTTGCTATAGTTTTGTAAAGTTTGAAGTGGCTTCATCATTACAAGGCAATTTATTATCACTTTTCTATGTACAATTGACTTTATTTAGTGCTGGGATGATGTAGTCCAGTAATTTTTTTTGTGTGTCATGAGATTTATCCTTCAAAAGTGGGTGAATTCCTTTAGTTTAGTTTGGCTTCTTATACAGGTAGTTCTTGTCTTATGACTATAATTGGGCCTGGAATTACAGTCATAAGTCATTGCAGTTATCGGTCGAGACTAAATCGTGACTGATTTAGAGTTACAATCATTTTTTTACAACAGTTGTTTAGCAAACGCTGTGGCTGTTAAATGAATCCATTTTTTCTAATGGGTATTTTTTAATTGGAAACCAGACATAAATCCCAGAAACCAGCAAAAGAGTTGCAAATTGTGGTCACATCATTGAGGGATGTTGCAAACGTCCATAAAAATAGGCTGGTTGCCAAGCACACAAAATGCAATCTTGTGACCAGGGGTATGCGGCCATCATAATTCTGAAAATGGGTTGTAAGTAGCTTTTGGAGTGGTCCATTGTAACTTCAAATGGTTGTTAAGCAACTGATCATAAATCAAAGACTACCTGTAAGTATTAAATTTCTTTCTTTGACTCTGCCTTAAAAAAATAACAATCCATCCATTTTCCTTCTCATAGAATCATAGGGCTGGAAGGGGCTTCAGAGGTCTTCTAGTCCAACCCCTGCCCATGTCAGGAGTCCTTATTCCATCCTGGACAAATGGTTTTTCAGTCTTTGAATATCAATTCATAATAGAATGTTATTTCCATGTGGATTTTGAATCCAATTAGATTGCAAAGAATGACAAATCATTGTTTAATATGGCAAGGTTTACCTATGTGGGCAGGATTTTTGTTCTTTCTGATCCTGGAATGTATTTGGTTGTTTAGGGTGGGATATCAGGGGTCTTATAGTTATATAAGCAATATAGGACTCTGACTTCTGGCAATCTGCAATCTATATATGATATATGATATGAAAAATCAAGATAAGGAGAAATGAGGCCGAATGCAATTTTAACAGCTTTAAAAGTGACTCGTACCCAATTAGAGGCTTATTAGAGGATGATAACAAAGATTTGTGACATTCATTTGTATAGCTGGGCTCACAGTCATTCATGCCTCAATTACCTCCCAACTCTACATGGGGCTGCCCTTGAAGAGCATTTGGAAGCTTCAGTTGGTATAAAATGTGACAATGTGTGCAGTTATGAATGCTGGTTGTTCAGCACATGTGACACCTCTGCTCTGTGAGCTGCATTGCCTACCAGTATGCTTCCAGGTGTAATTCAAGGTGCTGATGGTTACCCTAAAAGCTCTTCGTGATTTGGGAATAGACTATTTATGGGGCCATCTCTTCCCAATGATGCCTATCCATCCTGTTAGATCCATACAAGAGAGACATGTTCTGGGACTCATGTGTGAGAGAGTGACCTTTTGTGTCATAGTACCTGCCTTGGAACCACTCCGCTCCAGAAATCAAACTTTTGAGACAGTGAAAATCTGGCACTTCCATCAGGTCTGGGGCCCTGATATTATGGATAGCTCATTTTGTGGAGGTGTGTTTTTTTTTTTAGTATGAACCCAGCCTATTTCTTTCTGAAGACGTATATATTTGAAAATTATGTTTACCTTTACGTGATAGCTCTTCTATTTCTCCAATATTTTTTAGGTTCAGTCCTTCTTAGAAAATCCTACCACATACCATCTGCAAAGGTCACGAGACAAGAAGGTCCAAGACTATCTGTCTGAAACTTATGGGAACAAGTTTGCACCGCTACTTGGTGCTCCTTCTCCCAAGCCTCCTCCTTCAGCCTCCCCTGGGGTGAGACCATGTCATGTCATGTCCTCTTCTGCAGGCAACAGCACTCCGAACAGTCCAATGGCAATGCTTAATATCAGCTCCAATCCAGAGAGAGAGGTTTGTAAGTTCCTTGGGAACGCAGGAATTGTTGGAGAGGCTGGGATAAACTGTGGTTAGGAAGTACTCAACTCCCGTAATCTGAAGTGGAAAAGTCCAGCTGTAATTGAACCACATGATTCTCTGATTATGTAACATAGGTTTTGGGGGGGCTACACAATGAAAGGCAATGTTTTGCATCACACTTCTGTTGTAGGAAACTATCAGAGAGAACTTGGAGTTTGGGTGATTTAGCTGAAGGCTTAGTCAGATAAAGTTGCTCAAACAACAACAAATCTACTCTGATTTGAACCCTGACTTAGCAAGTCCATCAGAGATGTCTGGGGTCTGTTCTTATGGGGTGAGCAGCCCTGAGTCAATTGGAATCAAGTGTCATCTATTCAAATCAATCAATCAATCATTCAATCAATCAGTGTCAAACTTACATTTCCCATGTCTGTGAATTTATATACATTTTGGAAAAAAACCCAAAATGCATTAAAAAAAATCTATATCTGATAGCCTTTTTGTCCCTATTTTAGATAGATGATGTCATTGAAGATATTATGCAGCTGACAACTACTGTGGGGTGTCTTAATCCAGAAATTCATATGCCCAATACTGTGAGTATACTTCTTTTTTTTTTTAAAGGACTTCTTGCTTCTAGGCAGGGAAGTGGTCATGGGAGAAGGAATAAAACAACTGAAATAAAGTGGTTGCATCTATCCTTCCTTTCTTTCCAAATAATTAATTTGGAGTCACTGTTTTGTAGGAGACCAATAGTAATATTTAGCAAACATTTTAAAATAGTAAAACTTATTTTTATATGGTGAGATCTAACATTGTTAAATGAATCATATACAGTATAAATATTTGAGCCACCTGCATATAATGAATGGGAGATCCATGGTTGGGAAGAGTGGTGAAGGGCTAAAAGCCACAGGATATTCCTGTTGGGAATCAGGCCTTCTGTTGGCTGATACTTTCTTATCCTCTATTTTCTGTGTTAAAATAAATGTGCATTTGTCTTCCTCCCTTTGTTTTCCAGTTGCCTCTATCCAGCAGCCATATGAATGTCTATAACAGTGACCTCCAGATGACGCCTTCTATGGTGGGCATTACCAGCAGTTCCTGTCCTGCTGATCTCACTCAAAAGAGAGAGCTTACAGGTAACATGGCAGATTGTGTAGCCAGTGTGTATCTGTCCAAATGGTCAGGGTAATTTTTAGTAATTTGCTTTGCCTCAGACTGTAGGTCAGCAGTGCATCTATTTATACACATGCATGCATATGTGTATACAATGAAACTTGTTCTGGTTGGCCCATTGCTTTTCATAACAGCTTGTTGTGTTATCTTTAGATGCTGAGAATCGTGCCTTGGCTAAGGAACGCCAGAAGAAGGATAATCATAATCTCAGTAAGTGGAGGTTGGTTAAAACCATGTGGTTGAAATGCATTCTGCTATATTTCATTAGCCCTTTTGTTGATCTAATTTGTGTGCAATGATTTAGAAACAGTATTTTTATGCACAAGCATGCGTATTCTCCATTTATTATTCTGATGCAGAGAATGTAGCTACACTCAATGGTCATTGAATGCACCATTTATCGAAAATAGAGACTAAATAGATTAAAAATAGAGATGGACAACAGAGTGCAGTGTGCATATTAATATTTAAATACTTCTTGAATCAAGACAGAAAGGAGACAGATTAGACTGTTGGACTGGAATGGGATCTTCAAATTTTGATTAAATATTGTTCAAAGAGCCAGAGAATTTTGAGAGAAATTTAAAGCAAACTTGCAAGAGGTTCAAAATGAAATGATGGAGAAAACTGGTTAAAAAAAAACTAAAATAAATATGTGAACGATGTTGAAAAAGTGGCTGCTACAGGCATAGACTTTTCTAAGTTATTTGATTAATCATGGAATATAGATGCTTAACATGGAATGTAAATGGGGCAAATTCCTCCCCCCAGTTCAAATTTAATTATTTGGAAAAAATTAAAACAACTCAAAATTTGCATAATCCACATTAGAAACAAAGACATTATTACAGACTATTTTATAGGTGTGAAAAATATGTACTAATTAGCAACAAGATTTTATTAGGAAGTCTGATGGAAATTAGTGCTATTTATCCAGCATAAGTGTTTTATCAGGAGATATTTGATATAAGCCTAGCCACCATGATTTGGACCCATTGCAATTTCTGTATTGCCTTGCAGCCTCGTAGGAAGCTCAATGCAGTAATCTACAAGAATTTGATTATAATATCCAGATAAGATCTGTCCAACAAAGGACAGAAATGTGTGAGCATCCAGATGGATTGACTATTGTTCCTGTATTAGGTTAATGCAAAAGGAGGAATTTGGGAGAAATTGGGGTAATGCAAAAGGAGGAACTTGGAACTTTCTAAGGATGTTCATCAGTGCTCAGATATTTTATATCTTCCTTAAAATAAGCAATATCCGGTTATTTATTTCACCATTTTATACTTGTTTTTTATTGACAAAGTTGATATTTTTTATAATGTTTAATATCTCATACAGGATTTTTTTCTCTCTCTTTCTGTTCTAAGTTGAAAGAAGACGCAGATTCAACATTAATGATCGCATTAAGGAACTAGGGATGCTGATTCCAAAAGCTAGTGATCTGTAAGTTCTAGTCAATGGTTTATATTTTCCTGTTTCCTCTTAAAGCGAGACAAGAGTCCAAATCGAGAAATAGGCAACCAGAGCAAAAGTTGGATGGGAAATTATTTTCCCATGTCTGCTGTGTTGAAAACTATATTTTATTTCTGCCTTTAAAAACCACAAACGCACCAAACAACTTTAAATTTCAAATGAAAAATACTCCAAATCAAAGGAAACTCTGCATAATGACATGAATGTAACATAACCACAGTAGCTTGCTTTGGTCACATTTGACAAACTGCGGAAGATTATTTAAAATGTCTAGAAAAAGATTTATAGCTATTTTACAACTTCAATTATTAATTGTTTTAAAAGTAAAATATATTATAAACAATAGGAAATTTACTTTTTCTGAAGATTAAATAGAGTATCTATCAATCCCTGAAAGCAGAGGAGAGGCGGGAACAGGGTTGGTTCAGGGGGTTCCACAGTGGGGTCAAGAAGGGACTGTGAGCTTGCCAAAACAAAAACAAAAACCACCCCTGCATTGTAAAGTGTGTGTTGCATGCTTTAATCATGTTGTGTTGGCCACCATCTTAACTGGTTTTTTTTTATTGTCCCCATCAGTACCTCTGGGGATAATATAAGTGGGAAGGCTGACCTTCTACCCTGCATCTACTCTTTCTTCCAGGAAAAAAAATCACTGCAGCACCCTGTTTCTAAAGCAGTTTTACTCCAGTAGGCTCTGTACTGAATAGCTGTGGTTGAAGAGAAACAAAATGCACAGGAAAAGCCATTTTGAAGTAAACCACAGATATGGCCCTCATGCCTGCACACATTGTGATTTGATTTTTTTTTTCATTTTATAGTGTGAGAAAGACTTCACAGGTATAAGCCTGCATTTGCACTGAGTGTAGATAGAATGAGTTCTGAGTAACAATGCTGTAAAATGCCAAAATAGCACCAAGGGAGCAAGGCCGTATAAGAATAGCACCAGAAAGGAGCTCCAGTGTTGTTGTGCTCCCTTAAATAGCCATTGGCTGAGCGAGGAGTGAAAGCTGTTCCTTCATACTTCACACACCAGAGCTCTTTGCTATGGAAAGCTTATAAACAAACTAACACAACAGGCTACATTCAGATTTCAACAAGTGGGTTTGGTTAAAGATAGCATGTGATCAAGATGACACCTCGTATGAGTTTTAGATAAAAGGAACATTAGTCCTATCACATATTAGCTTTATGAAACAACTTCTATTTAATTTCTTCAATATAATATAATATTATACTCAAAATTTGGACTATAATTTTTGAAATTTATGTGCTCCTCTGAATGGGATTTGTTTATCTGTCAGGACTGACTTTTGAAAATAGACTATCAAGCTTTAGTAGGCAGTTGCAATGGCTATTTTTAGATTTTTAAATATGTATAAAACAAAGGACTGATTGCTGCAGTTAAGTAAACCACCTAATTTTGCACCATTTATGTGACATGATCCTGTTTTGATCTGGATGGATTGTGGCTGCCAACTACCAACCCCTAATGTTTGTAGCCAGAATGAAGAACTGTGATTACAAAAATGCACACTGGTTGGGAACCCTGGAGTTGTAATCCTAACACATCTGGAGAGGCTGGCTCAGAAAGAGTGCTTCTGACCAAGGACCTGTTAGCCACAGAAGATTTGAATTAATATTAATTAGTAATGTTGGAAAAGACATTTAAAAATTATCTGGCACTTTAGAAAAAGAAAGTCGAGTTGTAGTAGAAAAATAATGTAGTCTATAATGCTATGGCAAAACTTGCAGGTCGTACACACACCACTGATTGTAAATGAATGAATGAATGAATGCATTTTAAAAATGCTGAAATCTTACAAGACTGTCATATTTTACAAAATATCCAGCTGCAACAGGCAAGTTTTAAAATATATATTTTGATTTTAACTTCCACGAGAGCTATCTAGTTGCTTTGTGAATATCATGCAAGACATAGCTGCTTCATCTCTTCAGTGTGTTCTGATGGAGAAAAAAATTGTTCTGTGACTTATATAAACATGCAATATGGCTGATTGTTGGCACAGCTTAATTTCTTCTGGGGATGTCAGTGCTATGACATTGTTTTATTGGTTCCTATGAGTTCCATATGACATCTACCATATGAATTGTATTATAATTGGATACATTTTTTTGGTACCAGTCTTGCTTTGTGTTCTGAGAGATTGCTTCATCCAGACAAGCTGATAAAGCAGCTTAAAAGTCCAGCAACTGGGGAGGTGGCACATCTGATCTAGAGAAGTCACATCATTTGGCCTTAGAAAGTGTAATAATTTTATACATTGTCTTGAATTATTGGCTGCTTTGTCCATTTGTTTGAAAATCCCAAACAAAAAATTAAACAGATTATGAACAAGAGTTTTTCTAACTCTGGAAGTAATCTTTTGGAATGACAACATTCCCCCCCCTATGCTTTATTCCAGAGATGTGCGCTGGAACAAAGGGACAATCCTGAAAGCCTCTGTTGATTATATCAGAAGGATGCAGAAAGATTTGCAGAGATCACGAGATCTTGAGAATCATTCTCGGCGTCTGGAAATGGCTAACAAGCAGCTTTGGCTTCGTATACAGGTGAACCCCGTGTCCTTTACTTATTCTGCCTACGGTATTTCTATGTGCTTATAGAAACTGCTTTCTTTAATTATCTCACTGAAAATAATTAGCTTAATTCTACTTCTATTTGGAAGTCTTGCTTCATGTTGTCATGCTAGGGAAAAGCATAGAAGAGATTCATAATATGGGCTATAAAGCCAGCACTTACAGCGATAGTCATTTCTGTGTGCTCACTGATGGAATTCAGTGATTGCCTGAAAGTCGTACCATGTGTTCTTTTTCAACCCAACATTATTCTCACATGGTGATGTGGCATCCAAGAAGTTTTGAAAAGACATGTTGAAAAATGGTTTATGGAAATACTTCTTTTTCTTTTTCCATCCTGAACTTCAGGAGTGGTCAGACTGAGGGCTATACGTGGTTCCAAGTGCCCTGTTTTCAGTTGCCCAGCATCTGATTTTGCTGCTAAAAAGTATGACCGCTTTTGTTTTGTTTTCAAAAATAAAAGTGGAAATAGAAGTGAGATGTTCTGGAAGAAAAATTACTTTCAGCATACCCACCCCAAATAGTTTGAAATTGCACTGTTAAACTGTGCCCGTTTGATCATCAAATGGATGGAGATTGGGTGGAAGACTGGAAAGCTGAATGGAAGACTGGAAATGGGACAATTTGCCAATCAGTTAATATTAAAAATTAAGGAAAACATCAAAAAATGGCTGATAAGTATATCAGCTACTCCCCTTTTGGTGCTTTCATCTGTTAAGAAGTTAGTTATGGCTTCTGAATTTAGAAAGTTGCCTATCAATGCTTTACTCCACTTGGTGCAGGAAAACATTTAAGACGATTACTTAGAGCATTTATAAACCCAAATGCAAAATGAAATCAATAAGGAAGAGATACAGAGCATGGCTTCTGAATTTTCTTCCCAGCTCTTTAATAGCACCTTCATTCTAGTTCAGTGTGATCAGGAGGGAGGGAGACTTAAAAATGGAAAAGTTGGCAACATTCTTGACTACTGCCCAACTGTCTCTTCCATAGGGAAGCATTGGGGTTTTTTTTGTGGATTCCCCCCCCCCCTCCATAACCATAAACTAGATCTGGAAGTTTTGAACTTAGTCTTTCTTTTTTTCAGCTTCTCTCTCTGTACTGAACCATTCTGGGTTTGGAGAGTTATCCCACTGACAAACTGAGTCTTGGACCCTTTACATAAATTCTTTTCAATTTTTGTTAGATTGGAAAAAATAGAAAAATTGAAAAAATAAAGTAGCTGCATACAGTATGTATTGTAAAATTTGCATTTGCCATATGGAGGTAAAGGCTGTTGTTTATTGATCATACTATACTTATCCAGTGTAGGAGATCCCCAAGCACAGACCATACAGTTATTATTTATTGCACACTGTTGTATATTCATGGTAGAACAGAGCAGAGATGGTGATGGCTGTGATTATATATTCTATGCTTTTCTTTTGTAAGAATCCTTTATTTTGGTGCTTTGTCCTCAAGGAACTGGAGATGCAAGCTCAAGTCCATGGGTTGCCAACCTCTTCACCCTCCGATATGAACATGGCTGAACTAGCTCAGCATATGGTGAAGCAAGAAACCTCTGGAGAGGAGGGGACAGCAGAGCTCTTACAGCAACCGCAACTCCAAGCTGAACCGGAAGCTCAGCACCAGCCTCACTTTGCTCCTCCTCCTCCTCCTCCTCAATCTCCCTACCACCAACTGAACTTTACTCATAGCCTGAGCTTTGATGACAGTTGTAGAGGTTTTCATGACCCGCTGGACCCTAGCCAAAATGTCTCTTTTCCCTCCTTGTCCAAGAAGGAGTTAGACTTGATGCTAATGGAGGATACTATGCTTCCTGTGGCTTCTGACCCCCTGTTTTCCACTGTGTCCCCAGAGGCTTCAAAGGCTAGCAGTCGGAGAAGCAGCTTCAGCATGGAAGACACTGATATGCTGTGAAGAGAAGCCCTCCAAGCAGATTAGGAATTCAATATGGTTTATTTGTGAAGTGAAAATTTCTTCATTTGACTTATCTGTTTAGACTTCCTCAAAGACTTACGAGGTTAATAAGAAATGGATCCTGAATCAGAGATGGTTTGTGTTCTGATGGGAATGGGAGAATCTTTAGCACAAAGGATTGTCCATAGTTCTTGAAATTTTAATCCTTGACTTTCTCCTCTGCCTTGATTTGCCAAAAGTGAACAATCTGTCCTCATCTTCCATGATTGCACAATTAATATGGTCAGTCTGATTCCTGCAGACCTCTCCTGTGCCCTGTGCTCTTCATACTCCAGCCCCACGAAGCCAGTTAGAATAGTTTCACAACAATATGATTGTGAACAACCTTGGACATCAAGATAGCTGTGTACCCTTTTTTTGACAAGCAGCTTTAATCGAGATTTGGCATTCATATGTCCAGTAAAGGTCAACTGTGTCTGTTCCCACCTTTTGATCAACAGGCCAGTGGGAATGTCTTCAGGTGTGCTTTCATATTGGAGTTCTTTTTGGTATTGAACAGGAACACTCAATACGCTCTGTAGTGGGGTGGGGATGTCACTAGTTAACTCTGAGTAGTGATGGATAGTGATTTTTAATCCTTTGAGAAAGGAAGAAAGTACAATAACATTCACAGAACCTTTTTAATATTTTCAGTTTCAATTAAGGCTGGGATACAACAGCCTTAATTAATGACTTGCACTTTGTTAAACCTTGATGGTTTTTAGCCTAAATTTTGGCTTGGGCCTCCCCACTGCTTTTCTGAATCTTTTTTGGTTATCAATCCTTGACAGCTTAATGGCCATACAGGAATAGAAATGTATGAGCATCTGGAGGCATTTGAACAGCTTTTACTGCCACCAGTCATCCAAGAGACTGGGCAAATTGTTTTGCTAATTTGAAGTAGATTTTACTTCTCTTTTTGTTGGTTTTTGCTTTTCAGTGGAAGACGTGGGTGCTCTGATAGGTTGGTAGTGTTTTTGTGTTTGAGAAGTATCAAATGATATTATTTGATTTATATTAAGCTTATTAGTCTATTCTGTTCCTCTTGAACTTCCAGCTTATATGATTTAAGGTCCTATTACTTTGGTTCTGAATTTAGGATTGTGGAGAAACATAGATGAATGTATATTTTAAGTCTAAAGCCCTTAGAATGATTATTGAAGGGTTTAAAGTAGAGCAGTCATAGCTCAGTAGTAAAACACAAAGGATACATGCATAAGGTCCCAGGTTTCATTACCGGTATTTCCAAATAAATTTATCTTATAAAGATAGTAGAATTGAAGATCCAGTATAAATCAAAGCAGGTGAGACTTAGGCCACATCCACGCAGCTGCTTTGCCCTTTCATATGCACCAAAACCAGCAGTAAATCTTGCTGCCTTAATTCTTGCTGTCCCCACAGCATACCCTTATACTGCACACAGAACAGTTTCTGTTACACTGCTGACACATAGCAGTTTATTCTAAAGGCTGTCATTGATGGTTCTGATATTCCAGCCCTGACCAGTTTCATCAAATGAGAAATGCCCTCCTCTTGGCATGCACAATGTGCTGATTTTTTCCCCTTTTTTCTTATCACACTCTTGACTGAATGAACATTTCTGTATTTCTTGACATTATGGATGGGTGGTTCAACTATCAACCACTAGATGACAGTGGTAAAGAATTTTTGTACTGCTTGGCTGCCACCGAATGATTGCCCAGATTGTGCAACTACTGGGCCAATGCTGTTGAAACATTAAAGTCTGAGAAAGATATTTTGTTATAGGGATTGGCATAGGAGCTGCATACTATCCAACTAACAGTATGTTAGAAGCTAGGTCTCCTAAGACCAAAAGACACTGGAAACAGAATTCCATCCTAGGCAGGCTATAGAGAGACAAGCGGAGGATCCTTTCAATTGCACTTCTAACATATCATGTGCATCATGTATCTTATATAACTTGCACATAGTATTCAGAAGCAGAATAGAAGAGAAAACATCATTTTCAGAATGGAGTAGCTAAAGTCATCTTCAGGTTGCCTCACTCTCAGGTGGACAGTGAGACCCAGATAGTGACATATGGACATGTTCTATGGGAACAGGAATGGCTTTAGGTTAAGGCCAAGGATGCCAAAGCACACCAATGTTATCTGTCCTTCCCAATTACCCTGAAAATGCAAATCTTTGTGTTAATAACAGGAGATACCATCAGGAGTATATACCCTTGAGCTAGCTCTGTTGAAATGATTAGTGAGCTATCTCTAGAGGCTCTAGGACAGGGGTGTCAAACTGCCGGCCCACGGGCTGGATGCATCATGCCGAAACTGCACCCACCCCATGGAAAAAAAGTTGCGATACATCGTGACACATCACGTGACGTTACGAGTTTGACACCCCTGCTCTAGGGAATGGCATTGAAGGAAAGGGGGAAGGAAGAACTGCTACAAAAGCAGTTGAGCCTGGGCTAAGAAAATAACTCGAGATAGTATCTCAGACAAGCCCCTACTTAGTTCACATGAAGATAAAATGAGGGAGAGGAAACACATTCAGACTTGCAAGAGTCTTATAAAAGATCTGGCAATAAAAATAGCCCTGACCCATATTGCTTTGGTTTCTTAGTCTGGTCTCCCTTATTGGGCTGATGCTGTGCTTGCATCAAAACAAGGATACTATGTGGATTTGTTCCTAGAACTGCTAGTCTAACAATCTCAGTGTGTCCTGTCTCCTAGAGTGTGGTGTTTGTAGCCTTTTAGTATACTTTTTGCACAGTCAAAACTGACGGTTTAGTTATCATAGCAACTGACGGTTTAGTTATCATAGCAACTGTTGCAATTCTTTTGTTTCTTGGTCTGCATTTAATAGAAATAGAGTGGATACTTTGATTCAAGAAGGAACAGTATGATGGGAAAACCAAGTTTTTTGGGGGAGAAAAGACTTACTATATTGTTATTATGGTTAGTCACACAGCCAGATATTTACACTGGATTTGGCATTTTTATCCATTTGTTCAGTTTATTATTATTTTATTCTTTGGAGTTTGTACACTCCACTGCTATGTATCTCTCCAACATGTGCAATCTCATCTAAATATATATCTCTAGCCTTTTAGGGATGGATGAATGGATGGAGAGCTAGATATTTAAATGAGTACCTAAGTGCAGCAGAAAAAATATATAGCCTCCAAAAAATGAAAACATTATCTTCATCTTGGAAATTAACCAAATGCTATCAGCTAGGAAAAAACACTGCAGAATCAATTGTCACTAATTCCATTGTAAACAAAATCTAACATATGCGTGTGTGACGGTTGCAAGCAGGTTTCATGCAGCAGTCACAATCTGACAGGAGGGAAGTTCAAATGTAATGTCAGAAAGTATTCACAGAAAGAATAGTGGAAGCTTGGAACCAACTTCCAGTGGAGGTAGTGGGTCAGTTATCAGTAACTGAGTTTAAACATGCTTGGGATAAATACATGTCCATCATCTGTCAAAAATAAAAAAACTAAAAAAAACTCAAAGGGCAGACTCGATGGACCACTAGGTCTTTCTCTGCCGTCAGTTTTCTATATTTTTAACACATTACATGCAGTGGAGGGGAGAAAGGAGAGCCTATCATTTTATCTGAGGAATACCTTTTTTGCCAATAACATAATTTAAGAGAGCACTTGATGACCCATGTGACTGGAGCATTTTCAGTTCTGTGGGTTTGGATAGTATCAGTGATAATGTTGCATTAAAATATCCGTGTTGTGAAAATATTTAAGCCTTTTTATGCCAAAGCATTTTTTATAAAGCTATGCAAGATTGCCATTTGTTCTGTTATTTCTTTTCTAATGTACTTTAGTTTTAATCCAGAATACCTAAGGCTAGGACGCCCATGCTTCCGTGTGGCCATATGTGAAATAGACCTTCATGTGACGTTTTGAAATCTTTGGTAACCGAGAAAGCAGTGAGTGGGGTACACTTAGAACTTCAGAGACTTTGATCAACAGATTTGAGATAAGGTGCAACTTTACTCTGTGGAGGAATTTTCCTATGGTATATTGTGGCAATCATGCAGCCTTCCTCAATGTGATGTCTTCAGGCTATGCTAAGTTAACAAATCCTTCAATTCTCATCCAGTATGACTACAGCAAGCAGTTTGGGGAAGCCTGCTTACATAGTATAGGCATCTCTTGGGAGCATATCAAATCTTCTTCCTCTCTATACCTCAGTGTTATTTCTCATTTTAGTATATTTTTCTTCCTTAAGGTCCTGCACATCAATTTGCAACCAATCCATCTTCTAAGATACATTTCAGTTACGCTACAACAGGGGTTTGCAACCTTGACAACTTTAAGACTTGTGTCCACAAGTCTTAAAGTTGTCAAGGTTGCAGACCCCTGCTCTACACAATAAGGCTGTTTCTTACTGTATAGCACCAAGGATTCCACAAGACTTACTACTACTCTTTTCATTAAGGAAGACTTTAGGAAGGAGTTTAGGAGTTGGATTGGTAATGATTAGCACAGTTTTAGTTATATAGGAAGACATGTATTCAGTCATATGGCACCAAATTCAATTTAATTTTAGATATTTTTTTTGCGCCTTGATACTGGTGGTGGCACAATTGGAAGTTCATTACTGTATAAGGAAATATCAGAGTCAGACTAACAGAGTTGGAAGGGACCTTGGAGGTCGTCTAATCCAACCCCCTGCTCAAGCAGGAGAACCTATAGCATTTCAGTCAAATGGCTGTCCAGTCTCTTCTTGAAAACCTCCTGTGATGGAATATTATATTTATATATATATTACATCATATTTAAATATATATATATTATATTACATATATAAACACACACAGTTTATTGACAAGGAATGTGTTGGAATCATTAAAAAAAGGATAACTAGATCGCGTTCTAGGCTTTCAATGCCAGGATTTCTATGTTCCATTGTGTGCTAACAGATTCAGGTATTTAAAAGTATATCTCATAGAAATTCTGCTATAAGTTTATATGAAGTGCTCATGGAAGAATTATTTTCATTCTATAAATCCACTGTAGATCCTCTGAGAGGCTGTGTTTGTATAATTTTGAGCTAGAGGGGAATATTGTGAAGATCTAACAAATAGACAAATAGCACCATTTTTATAACAAGATGTGTGGCAAATTGGATGGATCTATTTAGTGCCTATGTACAGTGTAGTACATCCTGGGAGCCTTGTGCCCACTGCCTATGAAAGTAAGTTAATTTATGCAGGATAACAGAAGTTTAGAATTAGTGTTATTCAATAATATAATGCATATTTCAGTCAGCTCAATCATCATAAGCAACACTGTGTGAATTTGTACTGGAATATTTTTTCATACAAGGAATGTACTAAAAGATATATTGTTGTACTTCTAATTCATATCAGAAGTATTTTTTTTAAAAAAAAGTGAATAAGAAAATTGGATAACTTATTGAAAGTGGTTTGGGATTTTTGCAGTTGACTGCAAGTACTCCATTTTAGTATTTCATGATGCATTGGGTCATCCTTTCAGAGATACTTGCTTACCTAAACAGAGAAACAGCATGACCATAGGTGGGCAGAAAAGCAGAGGAAACAGAAGAGATTTCCAACTTCCTGCCTATTTCCTCAC